TGCTGATTTTTAAAACTTACGTTTTGTGTATTTTTGTTCTTTTTTTTAATCTACTTGAGAAGCTAAGAATTGGAAGTAAAATCTTTTTTAACAACCATGAAATATTTTTTCATTAGTAATCTTTAATCTTGCTTTTTAAACGTGAGTATTGAGAATTTTACCTTCTTTCTCATTTGTATTTGCTTAATGAAACTTACCCATCTTTTGACTGTTAACATTTTAAATGTTACTTTATCTTTGTTGTGTCTCTTGTAGTTAGATTCTATTTTTACTATTTATACTTTAAGATGGTAACTTAATCTGTTTTAACTATCTTGTTGCTTATGAATTTTTTTATTTTTACATTTTATGCCTCTTTATTTTCTATAAAAAAGAGTGTGTTTTTCTTTCTCATTCTTTTGTAAAGTTTATAGCCTCATTCTGACTATTTGTTACACTTGGGTTTCTAATTAATTATTTAATGTCTATTTCTCTAATTGAGAGCATCAACTTTATAACTATATCATTTGAATTTTTATTTGAGATAAGTTATTTAACTCAATTTTTTACCTGTCCTCACTTAATTTAAGAAAAACTTTAAAATATGATCTAAAGTTTAAGATCAAAATTACTATAATTTTATTATATGCAGTATATGTTCTCTCTTTTTATAACAGTACTTCTCAAATATTTAGATTCAGAGCATTTTTATATTCTTAAAAATTATCAAGAACCCCAAAGAGTTGGCTTTTGTTTATTGGGTTATATCTATGGCTGTTTATCATATTAGAAATTAAAACTTTGAACACTTAAAAAGATTTATTCATTTAGAAATAATAGTGAATTTATTATCTATGAAAATAAGTGATGTATTTTTATGAAAAAGAATAAAACTTTTCAAAATAGAAATAAATTAGCCAGAAGATTAGCATTGCTTTACATGTTTAAACATCTTTTAAATACCAGTAGAAGGCAGCTGGGCTCTCCTATCTGCTTCTGCATTCAATCTGTTGTGACATCACAGACCATTTAGCCTCCGGAAAATTTCACTGTATATTCATGAAAGAATGAGAGAAAAAAATGGAAAATAATACATTATTCTGAGACTAGTTTTACCTTGGTGACACCTGAAAGGGTCTTACAAATCCTAGGGGGTCCCTAAACCCCACTTTGAGAATTACTGTTCTAAGATAAGTGACAATTTTTAGACATCAGTATTTTAACTGTTTTTAGCGATGCTTCCAGTTCCTTTACAATAAGGCTTTACTGATACTGAGTTCTCTTATGTAGTACATCATCACATAATTTGTCCCACACAGTATCAGTAAAAATGGAGCAGGGTGCTCTATAGGAACAAACAACTCCCAAATCTCAATAGGTCACCAGGCCTCTGCTCAGAGGACCCTCATCCTGGACTCTGTCTCTGGCTGAGGAGCAGCCACCCCATCTGAAATGACAGTCACTGTGGTAGAGGAACAGAGAGCATGCTTAACCAGGTGCTGGCTCTGAGCTTTTCTGCCAGAGTGATACCCATTGCTCCAAGGGAGATGTAATCTTACCTTGGCCCAGAAGAAAAGAACTTTGAAAAATGTGTGACCAACACAGAGAGTGAATAAACAAAACATTTTTTGAGTTCTTGTATATCTAAGTATTGCTTGTGCCCTCATACATGAATAATTGAACAGGGTGTACATTTTCCAATTTGAATTATCTTTGCCCCATTCTCAAGAATTGGATGGGCGTACATTTTTCAGTAGTTTCCTTTCGCCTCTAGGTTTATAGGCTTGCATAATTATTTTAGACATTTAGGGTTTCAAATTTACTTTTTCCCTTTAGGATTTTCCCCCATATATGCGTATTCTGGGAAATTCTTCCCCCTTTATGTTATAACAATTTTGGTTTCGGTTTTTTTTTTTAATTTCACAATAATTTTTAATTTCCAAGGTCTCTGTCTTATTTTCTGGTTGTTTCTTTTCTGCATGGCATTTTTGGTACAATATATTCCCTTTCTATATTAATATATATATGTATATATATATATACACATATATATATATATTTTTTTAGATGGAGTCTGCTCTGTCACCCAGGCTGCAGTGGAGTGGTGCTCCAAAATAATTTATTATTATGAGAATAGTTTTACCCTGGTGACACCACTCACTGCAACCTCCACCTCCTGGGTTCAAGTGATTCTCCTGCCTCAGCCTCCTGAGTAGCTGGGATTACAGGTGTGCACCACCACGCCTAGCTAATTTTTGTATTTTTACAAAAAAATGGGGTTTCACCATGTTGGTCAGGCTGGTGTCGAACTCCTGACTTCCTGATCTGCCTACCTTTGCCTTCCAAAGTGCTGGGACTACAGGTGCGAGCTGCCATACCCAGCAGATAATATTTGTTTTTCAGAAAATCTTTTTTGTTCCCTGAAACATCTCTATTTCTGCTAGGGTAATTTTTTGCCTTTTGCTTATCTTGGTTTTACTCCTTGATGTGGTAGGTTTCCCCAGATGCTTGTGGTCTGTTGTAGTCTGTTCATGCTTATCAGCAAGATGCTCAAAAGCAAACCTGGAACTCCATTTAATGGGATTGACTTGCAAACTTGTGGGCTTCACTGAGGGAATACCGAATGCCTGAAGGTGAAAGCCTTTTCTCTGAGTCATCTATATTTTTCTTAAGAAGAAACCTCCAAGTCGGGTGTGGTGGCTCATGCCTGTAATCCCAGCACTTTGGGAGGCTGAGGCTGGCAGATCGTGAGGTCAGGAGTTCAAGACCAGAAGGGCCAACATGGTGAAACCCCATCTTTACTAAAAAATGCAAACAACAACAAAAAAAAACAAAACAAAAAATTAGCTGGGCGTGGTGGCTTGTGCCTGTAATCCCAGCTACTTGGGAGGCTGAGGTATGAGGATTTCTTGAACTGGGACCTGGGAGGTGGAGGGTGCAGTGAGCCGATATCACACCACTGCACACCAGCCTGGGGCTACAGAGAGAGACTGCATCTCAAAAAAAAAAAAAAAAAAAAAAAAAAGAAAGAAAGAAAGAAAAGAAAAGAAAAAGAGAAAAAAGAAACCTCCAGTCTTCTGCCTGAGTTTAGGTGTTCTGTGTTGTAGAGCAAACTGTTTTTAATTTTACCTTTTGAACAATCTCTCGATTTCATCTCTGCATTACCTTCTCAACTACCACTGCATCTCTCAGAGGCTGCAGGATACACTGGATCCTTTTCTGACCTCAGGAAGCTTCCTCCACCTGTGACAGTGATGAGCACCCCTCTCACCACTTTTCTCTTTCATACTTAGGTTTAAATTTCTCATCTAATTTCTTTCTCTTTGTCACTGTGACCTTAATTCCTTTACTATCATTTTAGGAGATACTCTAGTAAGGAGAAACACAGTTGTCATTAATCAACCATTTTAAACCAGAAGTCATTTTCTTTTTTAAAAGAATTGAATGGATAAATGATGCATGTTTGAGGAATGGAAAATCTTAACGATTCTCTATTCTATCCTGATGCCTGTTTGAGGAATGGGAAGTCCCAATGACCCTTTTATGGTGGGATAAAAAAAAAAAATCCTGTAGGTCTTCATACCATTTAGAAATATAGATAAAATTGTTAAGGCCTATTAGCAAGGGGAACAATTCAGCAAGTAAGGATCAGAACTACAGGCCAGGCACGGTAGCTCACGCCTGTAATCCCAGCACTTTGGGAGGCCGAGGTGGGCTAATCATGAGGTCAGGAGTTCGAGACCAGCCTGGCCAATATGGTGAAACCCTGTCTCTACTAAAAAAATACAAAAATTAGCTGGGCATGGTGGCACACGCCTGTAGTCACAGCTACTCAGGAGGCTAAGGCAGAAGCATTGCTTGAACCCGGGAGTCGGAGGTTGCCGTGAGCCAAGAATCACACTACTGCACTCACTCTGGGTGACAGAAAGAGACTCTGTCTCAGAAAAAAAAAAGAAAAGAGTCAGAACTACAAACTTTTGTGAGTTTAAAAATTAATTTCCCAGGCCTAGCCTTAAAGTCTGAAATCCAGAGATCTCCATATATCACCTCTGTAGGCAAGTTTAGGCCGATCAGTGTGTCCTAGTTTTGCATATTCACACAAGTCTCTGTGTTGGACCAGAGAAAGAATGATTTCCTTCTGACTATTCTTAATCAAACCTTACCAGGTGAGAGTCTTTGAACCAATTTTATGATGCAGAATGCCACCCTCCCTCTGCAGTTGCAGATGGAGGAGGTACATCTCCTTTACGTCTCCTGAGATTTCCTCTCTTTGTTGTTAACTAAGACTGGCAGTTCAGTGTTAGGTTCTGTAATATCTCAGCCAGCTTTTTATTTCTTTCTCTGTAAGTTCAAGTTCTCCAGAGAAACAGAACTGATGGGATGTGTGCATACAGAGAAAGAGATTTGCTATAAGGAATTGGCTCTTGCAGTTATGAAGCCTGGCAAGTTCAAAATTTGTAGTGTGGGCCTGTTGGTTGGAGACCTAGGAGAGCTGATGGTGCAGTTCCAGTCTGGATGTAGTCTGCTAGAAGATTTCTTCTTTCTTGGGGACACTTGTCTTTTTGTTCTATTCAGGCCTTTGATTGGTTGGGCAAGCCCCATCTACATTATGGAAGGCAATCTGCCCTACTCCAAATTCACCAATTTAAATAATCTTATCCAAAAGCACCCTACAAGTTGGCACATAAAATTAATTACCACAGTATCATGTCAATTCCTATAAATATTTTAATTTCTTTTAATTGCATATTTTCCCTAGAGAGTTCAGGTGAAGGTCTCTCCATAATAGTTTGATTGGTACAGTGTGAGCCTTTTTACTTCTATGTACAGGCCATTCCTCTTTTCCACCTTGATTTTTTCCAAAATAAATAAATTCCACTTATTCTGGTTTCCCCACAAGAATGCCTATTTTACACATGTTGGTTCTCCATTGACCATTCTTCATGGTCTAAAATCTTCTAGCCGCCACCAACCTCTCGGAAACTCAGGGTCTGTTTCCACATTGTATCTTTGTTTTTTAGGATGGTCACAGAGATCCGGAACGTAGAGGGTCAGAACCTGCGGGAGCAGGTTTTCCCTGAGCCCATTTTCAGGTTCTTCAGGGAACACAAGGTGGAGATTGCAAGTGCGATAACAAGGCCTTTTCCTTTCCTTATGGGCCTCCGAGACCGCTCCTTCATCTCTGAGCAGATGTATGAAGTAAGTAAGAATTTCCAAATGATGGTAAACCAGGTCCACCCTCAATTATGCCACACTGCAAGATGCAATGAAGAGGCTGAAGGGCCTCCTGTGAGTGGGGACCTTCACCATCCTGTAAGTTAGGCAATGACAGGAGAAGCAGGCATCACAGAAAACATCCATCTTCTGTAGTAAATGTTGGGGAGGGACATGGTGAGGGAGGTGGGGCAGGACAGAGAATGAGAACGCTGTACAATCGTCCTAGGTAACATATACAATCTAATGGTAGCCAAAATTCAAGTACATAAGTGAGCTCGGCAGCATTTCATTACAAACCTACTTTGTTGAAACACTTGAGCCTGAGATTTTTGAAACTCACAGGGAAGGTGTGTCGTGTTAGGATACATTTGGAAGTGGATGCTTGCTACTCTCTCTCCAAATCATTGTTTGATCTCTGGACATTTCTAGAGCCCCAGAATGCAAGTCAATGTTAACAGTGGATGCCCTTAGTGATACGGAGGACAAGCCTTCTGTTTGTCTTTGTGAATTTTCTGTGCCCTTTGGCCAGGAGTCACTGTAGGGGGCTGGTTGATTTGTTTCCTGGAGCGAGTCAGGCCAGGACAATCCTAGTAATGGTTATTATTCACACAACAGAACGGCCTCTTACTACTTAAGGTCACTCCTGAAGTAACCTGGTCAGGCTCTAAAGCCCCACACAACATTCGACTTTGAACCCACATCTCTCCTCTCAAGTGTACAACAATGTCAGAGAGTCAGGTTCAAAAAATTAGAGTGTATTTTTATGGCAGAGGACGTTTAAGAAGTCATCCAAATATATGCAAAATTCTAACATTTCACAAGACAGCAGATGTTCTATCTCCAACCTACAAGTCTGTTATAACCCACAAATCTCTAACTACATAATTCTCCATTTAATATTTTTAAGCATTTTCAAGAAGCTTTTAGAAACCTGGTCCCAGTGCCAAGAGTGATGTACTGTGTACTCAGTGAGCTGGAGAAGACGTTTGGCTGGTCACATCTGGAAGTGTTGTTCAGCAGGGTTAACCTGATGGCCTATCCTGATTTAAACGAGGTTTACAGAAGCTTCCAAAATGGTAACTATAGTTCTCAACAATTTTGGGGGATTCAAGCCCATTTCATTCATTGACTCATTGATTCACTCTTCATTAATATTTGACAAATGTTTGATGAGTAACCATTACATGCCAAGCCTAGGGGGAATATTATGATGAAAAACACACATGTCCTATGTCCTTATGGAGTTTACTTATAATGGGAATGACAGACGTTAACCGAGTAATTCTGCAAATGGTTGCTCAGCCAGGACTTGACTTTGATGCTGTAAAACATAGAATTGAAGTCTCCATTTTTTTGAAGGAAGACATGAGTGACGCCTTTTCATAGGAAAGGAGGGAGCCCTCTTTGATACTTGCAGACATGTTCAAAGATAAAAAGATTTTCTTTGTATTAGAAAATTTATCATTCAGTGCAGTCTTGTGTCAACTGGTTTCTCCAAACTAAGAGTGGAGAAGTCATGAGGGAGCCCAGCACATACTGGTACACTGAGGAGGAGTGACATGTGAAAGCTATGAAGACTGAAAAGCGGGTTGGTCGGGGGCTTTCAGAACCATGTGGTTGAATTGCAGAGTGTGGGAGAGAGGGTTTGGAAGCTGATTCTGGAGAAAGAAGTTGGAGTGAATTCTGGAGGAATTGACACTCTGTGCTAAGGAATTTGGAGTTTATTTTTTGGAAAATAAACAAGCAATAAAGGGCATTTAAATAGGGGAAAAGTAAAATAGGTCAGTATGAAGAATGAGTTGTGTCCATTTGTGAATACCATACCTTGATTCAAAAAAGAGCTATCTCACTTTTATATTATGATACATCGAGTCAGAAAAAGGTCTAGAGGAAATCAAATACTGTGCAGGCCTCCTTTAGTTTCTACAAGGGATTGGTTTCAGTAGAATACCCACCACCCTCAGTCCTGGATGCCTAAGTCCCTTATATAAAATGGCATAGTTTTATTTGTGTATAACTTACACACATCCACCAGTATCTTTTAAATCCTCTCTAGATTACAATACCTAATACAATGTAAATGCTATGTAAATAGTTGTTAAATTGTATTTTTCATTTAGTGATTTTTTATTTTCCTATTGTTATTTTATTTATTTATTTTTTGAGACAGAGTTTACTCTATCACCCAGGCTGGAGTGCAGTGAAGTGATATTGGCTCCTGCAACCTCCACCTCCTGGGTTCAACTGATTTTCCTGCCTCAGCCTCCTGGGATTACAGTCGCCCACCATCACACTCAGCTAATTTTTTGTATTTTTGGTAGAGACGGGGTATTGCCATGTTGGTGAGGCTGGTCTCTAACCCTCAACCTCAGGTGATCTGCCCTCCTTGGCTTCCCCAAATGCTGGGATTACAGGCATGAGCCACTGTGCCTGGCCTGTTATTTTTTATTTTAAAACTTTTCCCCATATTTTTAATTGAGGTTGGGTGAATCTATGGATCCCCACCCCAACTGTACCTAGGCACAAATTTTGAGTCAATATTATATTTTAACCAGGGTGTTCCAGGCTGTGAGGATGAAGGGAATGATGTTATTTCTACTGCCCACATCTCAGGGGCTCTTATTTTCTCTGTGGACTGTGGGGATCCTGCTGGCCCCAGCATTCACATCTCATAGGTTAGTTTCTGGCACTTCCTGTGTTTGGGTGAGAGCCACCTGAGGCTCACCACTGCCCGCTCCCTCCAACTATGAGTAGAAATGTGAGAAATGGGCAGAAATAGAATGAGTTGTAAAAAGATTGAAAAAGAGGTAAAAAAGAAAGAAAGAAAGAAAAAGAAAGAAACTGCCACTTTTGCTACACAACATCCATAAAAAATAATTCAAGTTGGATCACAAATCTAGAAATTAAGACTAAAAGTATAAAGCTTCTAGAAGAAAACGTAAGACAGCGTCTTTGCTAACTGAGAGTAGGCAGTAATTTGTTATACGGGACACAAAAAATATGGATCACAAAAGAAAAACTTGGTAAGTGAGATGTCACCAAATTAAAAACTACCCATCCAAAGGTGGCTCAAGCCTGTAATCCCAGCACTTTGGGAGGCCGAGGCGGGTGGATCACGAGGTCAAGAGATCGAGACCATCCTGGTCAATATGGTAAAACCCCGTCTCTACTAAAAATACAAAAAAATTAGATGTACATGGTGGCACGTGCCTGTAATCCCAGCTACTCAGGAGGCTGAGGCAGGAGAATTGCCTGAACCCAGGAGGCGGAGGTTGCGGTGAGCCAAAACCATGCCTTTGCACTCCAGCCTGGGTAACAAGAGTGAAACTCCATCTCAAAAAAAAAAAAAAAAAGAAAAGGAAAAGGTGGGTAGAGAGTAGGGGGCGGTAGTCGAGGGTGGTGGGAGAAGGAGGAGGCGGTGAATCACTTATAAATGACACTGAAGCAGGACCCTAAGCCTAAATTCCAGGAGGGTGAGCGAGTGCTGTGCTTTCATGGGCCTCTTCTGTATGAAGCAAAGTGTGTAAAGGTTGCCATAAAGGACAAACAAGTGAAATACTTCGTACATTACAGTGGTTGGAATGAAAATTGGGACGAGTGAGTTCTGGAGAGCCGAGTATTCAAATATGTGGACACCAATTTGCAGAAACAGCGAGAACTTCAAAAAGCCAATCAGGAGCAGTATGCAGAGGGGAAGATGAGAGGGGCTGCCCCAGGAAAGAAGACATCTGGTCTGCAACAGAAAAATGTGGAAGTGAAAACAAAAAAGAACAAACAGAAAACACCTGGAAATGGAGATGGTGGCAGTACCAGTGAGACCCCTCAGCCTCCTCAGAAGAAAAGGGCCCGGGTAGATCCTACTGTTGAAAATAAGGAAACATTCATGAACAGAGTTGAAGTTGTAAAGATTCCTGAAGAACTAAATCCGTGGCTTGTTGATGACTGGGACTTAATTCCCAGGCAAAAGCAGCTGTTTTATTTTCCTGCCAAGAAGAATGTGGATTCCATTCTTGAGGATTATGCAAATTACAAGAAATCTCATGGAAACACAGACAATAAGGAGTATGCAGTTAATGAAGTTGTGGCAGGGATAAAAGAATACTTCAGTGTAATGTTGGGTACCCAGCTACTCTACAAATTTGAGAGACCACAGTATGCTGAAATTCTTGCAAATCACCCTGATGCACCCATGTCCCAGGTGTATGGAGCGCCACATCTACTGAGACTATTTGTATGAATTGGAGCAAAATTGGCCTATACACTTCTGGATGAGAAGAGCCTTGCTTTATTACTGAATTATCTTCACGATTTCCTAAAGTACCTGGCAAAGAATTCTGCAACTTTGTTTAGTGCCGGTGAGTATGAAGTGGCTCCTCCTGAGTACCATCGGAAAGCTGTGTGAGAGCTGCTCTCACTCACCCATGTTTGTATCTCCATAAACACATTTTTGTTCTTAGTCTATCTCTTGTACAAACGATGTGCTTTGAAGATGTTAGTGTATAACAATTGATGTTTGTTTTCTGTTTGATTTTAAACAGAGAAAATAAAGGGGTAATAGCTCAAAAAAAAAAAAAAAAAAAAAAGAAAGAAAGAAAGAAAGAAAGAAAAGAAAAGAAAAGGAAAGGAAAAACAAGCCAAGACTGGGAGAAAATATTTGCAATACACATATCTAACAAAGGATTGTACTCACAATATATGAAGAACTCCTATAAATGAATAATAAAAAGACACACCACCAATTCAAAAAATAGACAAATGATTTGAACAGACACTTCAGGACAGGAGATATAAAATGTCCAACAAGAACATAATGGTATGACATTATTAATCATGAGGGAAATGCAAATTAAAGTCAGAGTGAGGTATCATTCACTCTCCAGAATTGCTGAAATTAAAAAGACTGACAATACCAAATGCTGATGAGGATATGGAACAGCTGGACCTCCCATCCCTTGCTGGGAGGAATGTGAAATGATAAAGAACACTTTGGGAAAGTGCCTGGCAATTTCCTATAAAGTTGAACCTAACCTATGATCTTGGCAGTTTTACTCCTAGGTATTTACATGAGAGAACTGAAAATATGTTCACCCAAAGATTTGTATAAGAATGTTTATGGCAGCCTTATTCATAATAACTAAAATCTGGGACCAACACAAATGCTCAACAGGAGAGTAATAAACTATGACTAATTTATAGAGTGCTATACTGTTCAGCAATAAAAAGGAGTGAACTGTTATCATTATGGAGCAACATGGATAAATCTCAGAAACATTACGTTGAGGAAAAGAAGCAAGTTGTAAGAGTACATACTACATGAACCTATTTGTGCCAGTACAGACAATACAGACAAGTATAGTGCCAGAAAGGAAGGAGCTATTGCTGGTGATAAAAACCAGGGCAGTCGTGTCTTAAGCACAAGGCAATTTTCTGGGATGGTGGAAACGTTCTGAATCTTGACTGGGATGTTGGTTTCACAATGATATACACTTAAGGTATGTGCATCTCAATGAAAAACAGGGGAACAAGGCTCTGTTGGACCTCGGGGGCGGGAGATCCTGGGGCTTGAACATCAAGTTCAGCCTGAGCACTCTGAGGTCTCCTCTGGTCACTGTCTGAGTTTGGTAATTTTTACATTGTTTTCTTCAGCATGCTATGAACACCCACCTCACCAAATGAACAATGTAAGCGAGTTAGAAGATAGATCCAGATTACCATTGTGTGGTAAACCAGGTGACTATCATTTAACTGATCAGTGCCCTTATTAAAGATTTGCTTCCTTGTCTTCATGGAGGCAAAGCTTGTATTTTGTCTCTGTCTTAGCCCTCTGTCTTAGCCCACTGCTACCTCCCAGTCCTCCTCCCCTCACACAGCCATGTACCTGCCCTTACCTGCCAACGGATGTGAGAGAACCAATGAAAAAGAAGATCTGATCTCTTGAATAGATGGAGTCTCCACTGATGGAAAATATAAAAAGAGAAAATGGGAAAGGTAGACGGAGAATACATGACAAATTACCTGGATGGATTCCATCTTCTAAAGTAACATAAAAATCCCACCGTCCCAGGTTGAGATAAGGGGATTATTTTAAATTAATTTCATAGAAGTATTAAGAGAAACTCAGAAATAACCTAGGCCACATCAGATTCAGGTGAGAGATGTTCCTCACAGAGGTGGCCAGTTGGGAGTCCCTGGCACTGTGGCCGCAGTCCAAGAGGGGAGTTTTGGATATGGAGAGAGAGGGGAGCCTGAAGCATAGAATTGCGCAGGGAGACAAAACTGAAATAATGTTGGCAGACAGCAGACCAAGGTGAAATGGGAGAAACAGAAATGGAAAGGGAGGAAGTATAAGACACAGTAGAGGAAAGGTAAACTGAAAAATCTGCCAAGCATCACAGGTAAAAATGGAGAGAGAAGTATATGGAAAAAGAACGATGAGAGGAAGATAAATACCAAGAAATGGGGGAAGTGGAGAGGTACAGAGGCAACTATGTAAATGAAGAGTTAAGAAAAAAAGGGTTTAAAATCACTTGAGAGTGACTATGGATAAAAGGGAGAGAAACAGACTGGGCCAGTGTAGATTTGAGGTGAGAGCACCAGGCATTAGCAACTTTACAAGGGTTGCCTCCATTGACCACGAGTTTTCAGATTGAACTGTTCACATATCAAAGTGGCACTTGCAACATAATCAGATTGCAATAGGCCTCTCCCGGAGTAGCCCAATGATTCCCGAGCACAAATCTCCACTCTAAATTATCTTTAGAGTACATTTATTCATAGACCCAAGGACCTTTACTCATGGGTCCAATAGACATCCACACTTGAATTTTTTCAAGAACCTTAAACTTGGTACTTTGAGAACTGAAAGCAACATCTTCATTGCTCAAGTTAGATCTAACTCCTCCGCAGCACTCTATCTCTCAGAGATGGATCACTACTGTCCCATGGTTTTTTAAGTTGGAAACCTAGTCATGTCATCATGGATGACTCCTCTCTTGCCCTCAAATACATGCCAGTTATGCACCCAACATAATCATTTCACCTTCAGGTTGCCCCCGGCCTGTCCATCTTTGCATCTCCAAGACCAGGTCTCTGGTCCAGATCTCCATCACTCTTATGATTCTCAGGACAACATCCTGTGCTCATCGCCTCCCTCTAATCTTGCTTCTATCAAATGTGTTATTTGCACTTCAACCAGACGGGATATTTTAAAATGCACATTAGAGTGTATCATTTTCCTACTTACCTCCTTAATACACTAAGAGGTAAATAAATGGGTTTTTAAGTAGCATCCAAGGGCATTCACAATGAGCCACCTGCCTGAAATATTACTTCAAGATAGAATAAAATTTCCCCCAATAATTTCAATTGTTAAATCTCTATTTCAAACTGAGCCTTTCCCTATGTTTTCTCTATAATGCCTTTAAAATTGTTTTCCTGACCCACTATCTTCCATTTACCCTTCTCCAATCCAGCGAAGTCCTGTTCAGAATATATGATCAAAGGGAGGTCTTTAGAGAAAGCTAGAAAGGCACAATTGAGAGACCAAGGATGGGTGAGAAAGAGTGGTATCAGAGAAAGCAAGAGAAAAATCTGCAGGAGCAGAGAAGAGAGAAATGCATCAAGGAAAGAGAAGCTCCAAGAAACACTAGCAGAAAAAAATAGAGGCAGAGATTGAGGAAATGTACAGAAACAATGGAAAGACATGAGTGAGAAAATGTGAAAGAGAAAAAGGTATAAGAAAAGGAAGATTTCCCCACAATGGGTGAATTATTTTCAGCCTCTGGTGAAGGTTACTGAAGGACTTTATCCTCGGATCAGGTTGCTTGGGGGAGTAGGGACCTCCCAGTTTATCAGGCTTTCTTAGTTTTCTCATTATTTATTTTCTTGTTTTGATGCCTTCTTGACCATAAATCAAGATATCTGAGGGATCTTATTCCTTTCTGCAGAGAACAGCAATGCCTGTCATGAAATGTGTGATGTAGCAGTGCCTCAGGAAGCCTTGAGCTCCTTGCCAACGTGTGGGCCAGGTAAGGAAGGGAAGACTTGCTGTCCTCGACCTGCTGGGTGTCAGGAGGTGGAATTCAGAGCTGGTGTTTCCTGCTGCATTTTACTCTGAGCACATTCCACAGTCAAATGATCTGTTTTTTTCCTGGGATCCCACAATTCTGCTAAATGTTCCTAAGTGTATGTTATAGCAGAAATATGCCAGAGAAAGGTGTCTTTCATGTCTACTAACAATGAAAACTTGATCATACCTACCCACCATTTATTTTCTCTAGAGAATAAAAACTATTACTGTTACTATTATTATTTTGTCACTTATTATAGAAAGCCTTCAAAAGAAACATGTTCCATCAGACCAAATACTTGAAAAACTAAATGATCATTTTTGCCAATTATTTTCCATTGTGTTACTGTCTTACATAGTGATTGTTCAAGGAACTTTGGTAAACAAGATGCCATTTTATCTCCACAGCTTACGGATTTAGGTGGATAAACTTTTGCTTATTTCTATTTTAAAGCTAAATAAAGTAGAAGTAGAAACATAGAAACGTGTAAGATCTTTTACCAGGTCAAATTAGTCAAGCAAGAACATGACCCACATTCCTGCTGACTCACTGTGGTGATGGTTGTGTGAGGCTGGCAGAGGGTCAGGGTAGCCAGAGGGTCATGGATAGGAGTTCACACAGGAGACCCAAGGAGGCCTACAATTTCCCAGGGGAGCAACAGAGAAGAAAAAGAGAGGGAATCCCGGGAGTCAAGGAGATGGACAGTGCTTCATGGTGTAGAAGCAAGAGCATGCGGTGACCAAAAAATGAGAAGGAGAAAGGAGGTAGCAGAGAGATGAACAGAAGGAAAACAGGCAGAGCAAGGCTCTGGGGGGACTCGGGAGAGGTTTTTGGAGCAACGGTGTTTTTTTTTTTTTCCAAGGAGAAGCTCACCTGAGTGCTAAACACCAGAATTCAGCAGGAATGTCTTCAGGTCTGTGCTCTCATCATTGTGTCTTGTTTATTTTCAGGTTTCTCTTCAGAGTCTCATGAGCTACTAGCTCATCCAAGGGCTGATGGAGATGCTGAAAATGCACCCAGCTTGCTACCAGGTGGGGGAAGTAATTATGGTTTAAATGACCAATTACCTATTTAAATTAGTTGGCTTATCTCTATGCAAGCAACACTTTCTGTCATTCTCTCTCCACTACCATCCCTCTAATACACTTTTGTTCAGGTTGTGATTATTTTCCCCACATGTGTGGGAGGCAAGAAGTAAACAAAAGCTAACTCCGTTAGTGGAGGGGCTCCTGGGTTGAGAGCTTAAGGGTACAGAGTAATACAAATTACTTTGATTGGAGGCACCAAATGGTGTTGCATAAGTGGGCCCAATTTTATCTGCAGGGATATGGAATCTAAATCCTACCAGGATGGGGTTTGAGAAAAGAGAGATAATTTTAAACTCACTTGCCAGGGATTGTTTAGGAATAATGAAATACTGTGTATAGAAGAAACAAAGTGGAAGTGACAAAGTTAGAAGAATAAATAGGGACATAATGTGGCAAAGAGGTGACAAACATCATGAAGGAAGAAAGAGACAGAAATGCAAAGAAATGGCCGAAGTCAGGGAGAAGAAGTCAAGTCAAAAAAATCCAGGGGTTAGTTTATGGTGCAGATGTAGCAATGTGTAAAGACAGGGTGAGAGGGAGAAAAAAGAGGAGAGAGAGGGAGAGAGGGGAAAGGGGCCTGACAAGGTGCTCAAAGAAGTGGAGCCACTCTTGTTTGCTGCAAAGATATCTTTACTCCCAGGAAGCAGTTCTGTACCTGAACATTAGAGCTCAGCATGACCACATCCAGGTAGGTGTCCAGGTCACTGTCATTTGTCTGTCATGTTTTTCTTTCGCTCTGCAGTGTGCTGTGAACATGCTATACAAGTAGATGAAGGAGAATCAGAAGAAATGCCCCGGTTATTGCCTTATGATGCAGAAGGTAATCAGGATTTAAATTAAAGCTTTATTTTTCTGTCAACATACAAAAATACCGACTCTTTCATTTCCCTTCCCATTCCCCCATCTATTCATGTATTCATCCATATATCCATCCATCTATTCATCCATCCATCCATCCATATATCCATCTATCTATATATCTATCCATCCATTCATCCATCCATCCATCCATATATCCATATATCTATCCATCCACCCATATATTCATCTATCCATCCATCCATATATCCATCCATCCATTCATCCATCCATCCTTCCATCCATCCACATATTCATCCATTCATATATCCATCCATCTATTCATATATTCATCCATCCATCCATTTATATATTAATCTATCCATCCATTAATATATTCATCCATCCATACATGTATCCATCCATCCATCCATGCATCCATGCATCCCTCCCCACACACTGACTATGCCCAGCTTCTACCTGCTTTTCTTGAGAGACACAAGTAGCAAAAGAAGAATAAGCTCAGACTGGTTGGAGTTTTCCTGGACATAGGACATAGGGAAAGAGGGGGAGAAAGGAAAGTATAGATTGAAGCATTAAATAAAGTGAGGTCTGAGTGATTGCCAGTTTTACCTAAATAGATGTGGAATCCAACTATTACCATGTTGGGTAATATTTGGGTAATAATACCACTTTGAGTTATAAGGAAGGAGAGATAATTTTCAACTTATTTTCTTGAGGTTATGCCAAGAGAATGGATATAATGAGTATACTGCAATATAGAAAACTCAGTGAAAGACTGTTGAAATGAACTTCACAAGAGGAAGGGTCCCTGCCTCTTTTTAAAAAATATATATTTTATTGCACTTTAGGTTCTGGGGTACGTGTGCAAAACATGCAGGATTGTTGCATAGGTACATATATGGCAGTATGGTCTGCTGCCTCCATCTCCCCATCACCTATATCTGGCATTTCTCCCCATGTTATCCCTCCCCAACCTCTATCCCCCGCTGTCCCTCCCCTAGTCCTGCCCAAAAAGCCCCAGTGTGTGATGCTCCCCTCCCTGTGTCCCTGTGTTCAACACCCACCTATGAGTGAGAACATGTGGTGTTTGTTTTTCTGTTCTTGTGTCAGTTTACTGAGAATGATGGTTTCGAGATTCATCCATGTCCCTACAAAGGACACGAACTCATTGTTTTTTATGGCTACATAGTATTCAATGGTGTATATGTGCCACATTTTCCTTGTCCAGTCTATCACTGATGCCCTTCCCCTTTGTTAATGGCAAAGGATGATACCTTTGATGGTATGGGAGAAAAATAAGACAGAATATCCAGAAAAGCTGAAATTTAAATTTTTAGATTTAAATTTTGGATTGAAAAATTAGGAACAGAAAGCTAGCTAGAGAGAACAGATAGAGGCATGGAAATAAGCACGATGGAGGAAAGAAGATAAGCTTGATTATTAAATAAGGCACAGGATTTTAAATGTGAAGAAAATATTATGAGAGGAACAGAGAGAAGAAAAATGCTAGAAAACAGAGACAGTGGAAGAGAGAGAGAAAAGTTATACACAGAGAAAAAGAGTAAGTGAAAAGTTAGCAGAGAGTAAAAACGGCTTGAAAGGGATAGGGAACAATATGGGACATTATAGGGATTGAGGCAAGATTCACTAGACAGAAATAACTTCTGGTCCAAGAAGGGAACATGTTAGTGAGTTTTAGCTTGTGATGTCCCAACCTATCAAAATGGCACCTTTAATGTCCTCAGAGGCAGTTGACTTCCCCCCAGGCTTTCATGTCTCTCCCATCCGTACCTTAATGATTTTAAAACACATAGGTCCAGATTTATCTTCTAAGTTCATTCATCTGAGTACCTGAACATGTTCATGAAGATATTTGAAAGACCTCTCCATTTGGATGTTTTTCAGGAACCTCAATACAACTCCAAGATTGCACATACCATCTTTCCTGACATCAGATCTGACCCCTCTCTCGCTGTTCCCTATCTCAGGATGAAACACTGTTACTCTATTTTTCAAGCAGAAACCAAGGAGCCATTAATGACTCTCCCCACCTCCCTCAACTTAAATACCCTGTCAACCATCCAGTTGACTTTTAGTGAGTTCACATATCTCACCTGTCCATTTCCTTCCACCCTAACACAAAAACTCTGGTCAGATTTCTCTCTTGGACTGGAGCAGCAGCCTCCAGACTCACATCCTTCCTCTGATCTTGTACCTCTCACATCCATTCATTCCAACTCAAACAACTCTTTCAAAAATGGAAGTTGGAGTCAGGTGTAGGGGCTCACACCTATAATCCCAGCACCTTGGGAGGCCAAGGCAGGTGAATCACCAGGTCAGGAGATCAAGACCATTCTGGCCAACATGGTGAAACCCTGTCTCTACTAAAAATGCAAAAATTAGCTGGGTGTGGTGTGTGCCTGTAATCCCAGCTACTCAGTAGGCTGAGGCAGGAGAATTACAATAATTTGGGAGGTGTAGATTGCAGTGAGCCAAGATGGTGCCACTGTACTCCAGCCTGGCCACAGAGCTAGACTCCATCTTATTAAAAAAAAAAAAGAGGAAGGAAGTTGGCTTATCTTACATTTCTACTTTAAATCAATAACTACTTGGGGTCATAAGGATTAAATCTAGTTTTCTTCCCAGGGCTCCATCTTTATGTCTGCCTCAAGGTTTACATACAAATTTTCTGGTCATTTTCATTTTCTGATGACTTTCTCATCTGAGCCTTCACAAAGGCTTAGCCCTGTGCTGTGAAGTCATCTTGTTCCACTACACTCTCCATCATGCTAATCTAGTGAAATCATGTGGAAATTACATACACTCTCAGAGATGCCTTTTCTGATCCCTAGTTCAGGGGTGATAGATGGGGCAAGGACATAAAGCAAAGCACCAGGGAAGAAAGAGGGAGGAAAGAACAGTCTCAGAGAAAGAAACCAAGACAAAAAGAAATACCAAGACAGTTCAACAGCAAAAGACAGAGGTAGAAACAGAAGAAGTAGAGATATGTGTCAAGGTGAAAATGAGGTTGCCGTTGTGGGGTGGGAGACTAGGTGGGCAAGGTTTCTGTCATATTACTGGACTGTACAGGAGCTCCTTTTACCCTCACAAGGTCTTTTTTTTTTTTTTTTTTTTTTTTTGAGAAAGAGGGTCTCACTCTGTTGCCAGGCGCCAGGCTGGAGTGCAGTAGCATGATCTCGGCTCACTGCAACCGCCGCCTCCCCGGTTTAAGCAATTCCTCTGCCTCAGCCTCCCGAGTAGCTGGGAATACAGGCATGTGCCACTAATTTTTGTATTAGCATGCCCAGATGATTTTTGTATTTTTAGCAGAGATGGGGTTTCACCATTTTGGCCAGGATGGTCTCGATCTCTTGACCTCGTGATCCACCTACCTCGGCCTCCCAAAGTGCTGGGATTACAGGTGTGAGCCACCGCACCCGGCCCCTCACAAGATCTTAAACGTTGGTATGCAAACAGCTGAACCTCATTTTACAGACTGGGAAATAAAGCATGGAAGTGCAAGCAGGATATTTTCACAAAGGCAAACTAGAAAAGGAAGAGTGGGATCAGTGTCCTGGGTGTGTCACTGGGTGATGCTTGTGCAAGGCCAGCTGGGGGTCAGAGCAGGGTCACTGGGTCAGAATAGGGTCACAGGGTCAGAATGGGAAGAAGCCCAAGGAGATCTGCAGATTCCTGGAGAAGAGAACCAGGGACCAATATAAGGCTTTAAGGAAAAAATGTTCCCACTGGAAGGGAAGGGAAATCATGGAAAGACAGCATAGAAATAGAGCCTGCACTTTTGATTAGGAGGGATCTAGAATAAGAGCTAAAGAAATAATACAAAGGGAATATAATATCACTGAAAAAGAAAAAAGTCATAGAAACAGGAGGCAGGAGGAGCCAGTTGGAGAGAAGACCAGACAATCCACACAGTTTGTGTGGCAAAACATCCAAATGCCGGGGAACTGTGTGGAGGCAGAACTGTGGGGAGGACACTGAGAATTAGAAAGAGAAAGATGAGATGCAACAAGGTGGAGAAATGGCGGAAGCAGATGGAGGTGGCTCTCAGCGTTTTCCCATCTTGGATGGCAGGAACATACTGAGGTCTGTATCCAAGTCACCCTCTGTTGTCTGTCAATTTCTTGTTTCTCTGCAGAGACCTTTGATCTAAACACTCCCCAAATCACTAATGAAGGAGAACCAGAGAAAGGGCTCAGTCTACTACCAGGTGAAGGAGAAGGTAATTCTGATTTAAGTGTTTAGATATTTCAGAACATCTTTGTTTTCTAGTTGGTATGAATAAAATTCTCTTTTTCACATTTGCATACATACAGATGGAATTACGTCAATTTTCTGTTGAGCCTTTTTGAAAACTGTGAGAGAGACAAAGGATCATGGTGAGCTGAGCCCCTGAGTAGGAACCATATCCCTGCATGGGGAATGTAGGGAGGCAGAATATGCCAGCGGTAGGCTGAGGGCACCAGATAAGAAGTGCCTCAGTGACGTTATTACACATTAAACCTAAATATCAGCAGGTTATGGCAACTGAGGCAGGGGAGAATGTTTTCAGCCTACTTCCAGAAGGATCTGGAGCACAGACATGTTTTGGGAATGACTGAAGTCTTGCAACTGAGCGAAGTCATGTGGGAGACCCTTAAGATGCAGCTGACAAGGGAAGGATCTGTGGTGCCATCGCCCCTGCGTAAACAGAAGAACTTTTCCAAGCTGGGAGAAGAGAACTTTGAGAATGAGAAAAGTCTATAACATAATGGAGATTTTACCGGCATCCAGAAACGTAAGATAAAACCCAAAGGAATGGACAGAAAAGGAGAAAATAGAAGACACATAGAAAGGAGATAACCTCAAGGAGAAAAATAAAAGAAAATTATACAAATGGCAGCAAACATAATAATAACAGCAACATGAGAAGGAAGCACACAGGAAACTATGCAGAGAAAGAGACAGATCAAAATAATTAAAGAACCCATGAAGAGTGAAAAAGATTGTTCAAGGAAAGGAGCAGGGCCAGGGCCTGTGGAGCAGAAGTCAGAGTCACTAGATAGAAGCAGCTTCCAGCAAAGGGCACCTCTGCCAATAGTGAGTTCTCCGATCCAGGTCCCCCTAGGTAGAGAGTGGGATGGAAACATACTCAGAGGGTAAGAATACTCTTTCCCCAGTCTCATCTGCTTAGGTAGTAGAATGATTCTCATGTACATGTCTGCTAGGCAGACCTGCCTTCCAAGCCCTGCCATTCATGTGCCTGAAGACATTTATACCAGGAATCTGTCCATTTTAGTATCTGTCAGGAATGGAACACATCCTAAATGGAAACCAATACCTCCACTGAACCTAGAAACTCCCCCTCCTCCAGGGTTAGCTGTCTCAGTAAAGGGATGAATGTCCTGTTTGCTCTTGTAATAATCAGGCTCATTTTTTCCTGCTTTAGCACAATTGTTATTTGCAAGATATCAATCAGATCATTTTCTTATTCCCTTAGACGTGGTGATTTTTGTTGCACAGGATTAGATGAGTTATCCTTCCTGTGGATTTCTGCGGCTTCCACCCATCATGGGACCCCAGCCCATATCAACTGTCTCATCTCTACTAATGGCATCAATTGTTTCAAGAGCTGCAATGATCTGATCTTTCTTTTCTGTGTGGGCTCTTGAGCCATGCTTCCCTATACCATGTGGTGTTGCCTTGGCCGTCTCTGCTCATGATCCCCTTCCTTATCTCGTTCATTTCTCTTATTCTAGGAATGTCTTTCCTAGTGCCCAGTATGAGAAAGAGGGTAAACAAGGAAATAAATGAGATCAGGAAAAGTAGTAAAGAGCAGAGTCAGGGATGCCAGAGAAAAAGACAGGAGCAGAGAAGGGGACAGAAACACATAGAAACAAAGAGAAGCACCTGGAGCCACTGGCCGCAGGAAACCAGGGCAGAGACAGAGGAAATGTGCAGAGGAAAGGAGGAGGGGGAGAAGGAGAGAGAGTGAGGAGTCCAGGGAGGAAGTGAGCTGGTGGATGCTTCTCAGCCTTAGAGACAGTGACTGGTGTGTGTCCGCCTACGGGCCACAGGGCACCCACCCACAGGGCAGACCAGGAGGGAGGCCTGGGTTGGGGACAGCCTCACTTAGGAGATGCTTCAGCTTCCCACATCTTCACTAAGTTTTCTCTTCATAATTTCTTGAGGGATTTCTTTTCTTTCTGTGCAGAGGGCAGTGATGACTGTTTGGAAATGTGTGATGGAGAAGAGCCCCAGGAAGCCTCTAGCTCCCTAGCAAGATGTGGGTCAGGTAAGGAAGGCGAGGATTTCTGGCCCTGGGCTGCAGAGTGTCAAGAGGTTGAATTCAGAGCTGGTGTTTCCTGGTTGATTTTCCCCTGAGTATACTTCACAGTGAAAGAATTCAATTAAGTCTCAGATTTTTCGCATTTTCTATACATGGATTGTTTGGGAAATGCAGAGAGGAATCCTTTATGCAAGAGTCCGTGTTGAACAGAATGGGTTTTATTGTTTGAAAACATGTGTTTAGATATAATGTGGTAATTGGATTATGTCAACACAAGGCAATGTGTTCTCTCCTTCATATTCTCCTGCCTATTAATACTAAAGCATTAAAATATTTTACTGGATCAGGTCTCTTGATACCCTCACAAAACCCTAAGATGGGGGCAGGAAAACTGGGTAATCCTATTTTATAGATGAAAAAATAAAGGTCAGAATATGATAGGAGGAAAAAGTGCTGTTTTGCCTTTATTTTTCATCACTATCAATACTATTATTTGAATTTAAAATTCTAGTCTCACTCATTTCTTCTATGGGAATGAAAAAGCTTTTATTCCTCTGCTGGTAGATACTTTTAATCATTTTATTACAGACTTGATGAAGCCTTCAGAGAAATAGTATCCTGCCATTTAACTGACAGAACTCAGATGAACTCTTTATGAGACTAAATGCTATTTTTGATCAATACTCTACATTATGTTATTGGATCCTGCAGTGTGTTTTTAGAGTACTCTGATAATTGTTACACTTTTACCCTTGGAAACCTCAAGACTTAGGCGGAAAAGTGCTGTTATTGTTGTTTTGAGGAGCCAGAAACACAGAAATGCATGAGACACAGGTGTCTGATAAGACCCAAGAAGAAGGAAATGCAGAGACCAGTGTCCTGGATGACTCCTTGCCATTCTGTGAGGCTGGCAGGGGTTGGGGTGGAGTCCCATGGTCTGAGTTCACTGTGGAAACCCAAAGGGCTTTTAGGAACCTGCGAGAGTCTACCAGGGTTTGATGGAGAGAGATGCTTATTAACAAATAAAGAAAGTTTAAGGAGAGGAGTGGAAAAATTATTGAGAGTTAGAAAATATGTAACTGTAATCTACTATACAAGGTAGGAAAGATCCAGAAAAATAGAGCCAGAGAAAATAAACAGAGATGGAATTTGCAAAGTAGATGTAGCACATCACTGAAGGAGGAAGAGACAGATAGTCAGGGTGGGGAAATGTTTGGAAGAAAAGTCCAGAGAGTCTAAGAGAAGCCCAGTAGCCTTCATAGAGTAGCACTACGTAAAGGTGTGTGAAGATGTAAGTGCATACTGTCACATGTTTTCATAGGTATAAAGTGGGGCAAGGACACAAAGCACAGGACCAGGGATGCAAGAGGGACACGAGGGAGGCAGAAACAGTTCCAGGTAAAGAACCAAGACGAAGAGAAGTACCCAGAGAGTCCTTGGCAAGAGACAGAGGTAGAAACAGAAGAAGCAGAGAAATGTGTCAGGGGTGAAAATGAGAGTGATGACATGGGGTGGGAGACCAAGTGGTCTAGGTTTCTGACAGTGTATGTCAGATTACCAGATTGCACAAGAGCCTTTACCCTCACAAAAACTTAAATGTCAGTAGGCAAACAGCTAAACCTCTATTTTATAGACTGGGAAATAAAGCACAGAAATGCAAGTAGGATATTTTCGCAAAGGCAAAGTGGAAAAGGAAGAGTGGGCACCAGTGTCCTGGGTATGTCACTGGGTGATGCTTGTGCAAGGCCAGCTGGGTGGTCAGTGCAGGGTCACGGGGTCAGGACAGAAAGAAGCCCAAGGAGTTCTGCAGGTTCCTGGAGCAGTGGAGCAGGGACCAATACAAAACTTTAAGGGAAAAAAAAATGCTAGTGGGAGGGAAGGGAAGTCATGGCAAGACAGCATAGAGCCTGCCCTTTGGGATAGGAGGGATCTAGAATAAGAGCTAAAGAAATAAGAGAAAGGGGATACGGTGTCACTGAAAAAGAAAAAAAAAAATAGAAACAGGAGGCAGAAGGAGGCAGTTGGAGAGAAGACCAGACAATCCAAGAGCTGCCCAGCTGGGAGGGAACTGTGTGGAGGCAGAACTGTGGGGAGGACACTGAGAATTAGAGAGAAGGAGAAAGAGGAGATGCAGCAAGATATAGAGAAGGCGGAACCAGACGTGGGTGGCTCTGAGCCTTTGTCCATCTTAGCATAAATGCACCGAGGTCTGTATCCAAGTTACCCTCTGTGGTTTGTCCATTTCTTGTTGCTCTGCAGAGACGTTTGCGCTAAACACTCCCCAAATCACTAATGAAGGAGAACCAGAGAAAAGGCTTGGTCTACTACCGGGTGAAGGAGAAGGTAATTCTGATTTAAGTGTTTAGATATTTCAGAACATCTTTGTTTTCTAGTTGGCATGGAAAAAAGGTTTCCCTTTCTCCCATCCTACCCTTCTCTTCACATTCCCATACATACAGATGGAATTATGTCAATTTTCTGTAGAGCCTTTTTGAAAACTGAGAGAGACAAAGAATCAAGGTAAGCTGAGCCCCTGAATGGAAACCATATTCCTGCATGGAGATGTAGAGAGACAGAGTATGCCAGGGGTAGGCTGGGGCCACCAGAGAAGGAGTACCTGGGTGATGTTATTAAACACACAGTAAACCTGAATATCATCAGGTTATGGCAATTGAGGCAGGGAGGTTGTTTTCAGCCTACTTCCAGAAGTATCAGGAACACAGACATAAGTTTTATGAACAATTGAATATTTGCAATTGAGGAAAGTCATGTGAGAGACCACTGGCACCCAGCTGACAAGCAAAGGGTCTCTGGTTTTACAGCCCCTGTGTAAACAGAAGAACTTTTTCAACCTGGGCAATGAGCTCTTTGAGAATGAGGACAATATATAAAGTCATGGACATTTTACAGGCATCTAAGAGGGTAAGGTAAAACCCAAAGAAACAGAGACAGAAAAAGAGAAAGTAAAAGAGGATGATCTCCATTAGAAATAAGATACGGAGAGAAAATTATACAAATAACAGTATCAGTGTAGGAAGGAAGCACAGAGGAAACTATGCAGAGCAAGAGACAGATCAAAATACTTAAAGAACCTATAAAGAGTGCAAACTATTGTCAGAGGAAAGGCGCAGGCCCAGGGCCTGTGGAGCTGAAGTCAGTCACTAGACAGCAGCAGCTTCCAGCAAACGGTGCTTGTGTCAATAGTGCGTTTTCTGATTAAGGTCCCTGTAGGTAGAGAGTGGCACACAAGCATACTCAGAGGGTAAGAATTTTTTTGCCTGCAATCTCATCTGCTCAGGTAGTGGAATGATTCTCAAGTCTTTAATACATGTCTGTTAGGCAGACCTGCCTTCCAAGCTCTTCCATCCATGTACCTGAAGACATTTATCATGGGACCTTCTCCACTGCAATGTCTTTTAGGAACTGAACACTTCACAGTAGAAACCAACACCTCTACTGAACCGAGAAACTCCTCCTTCTCCAGGGTTCGCTCTCTCAGTAACGGGACGAAGGTCCTGTTTGTGCCTGTACTCATCAGACTCATTTTCTCTGCTTTAGCACAGTTGTTAGTTGCAAGATATCAATCAGATCGTTTTCTTATTCCCTTAGACGTGGTGGTTTTTGTTGCACAGGATTAGATGAGTTATCCTTCCTGTGGATTTCTGCGGCTTCCACCCATCGTGGGACCCCAGCCCATATCATCTGTCTCATCTCTACTAATGGCATCAATTTGTTTCAAGAGCTGCAATGATCTGATCTTTCTTTTCTGTGTGGGCTCTTGAGCCATGCTTCCCTATACCATGTGGTGTTGCCTTGGCCCTCTCTGCTCCTGATCCCCTTCCTTATCTCGTTCATTTCTCTTATTCTAGGAATGTCTTTCCTAGTGCCCAGTATGAGAAAGAGGGTAAACAAGGAAATAAATGAGATCAGGAAAAGTAATAAAGAGCAGAGTCAGGGGTGCCAGAGAAAGAGGCAGGAGCAGAGAAGGGGACAGAAACACATAGAAACAAAGAGAAGCACCTGGAGCCACTGGCCGCAGGAAACCAGGGCAGAGACAGAGGAAATGTGTAGAGGAAAGGGGGAGGGGGAGAAGGAGAGAGAGTGAGGAGTCCAGGGAGGAAGTGAGCTAGTAGTTGCTTCTCAGCCTTAGAGACAGCGACTGGAGTGTGTCCAGCTGCAGGCTGGGTGAACCCAAAGGGCAGACCAGGAGGGCCTGGGCTGGTGACAGCCCCACCTAGGAGATACTTCAGTTTCCCACATCTTCACTAAATTTTCTCTTCATGGTTTCTTGTTGGTTTTATACTGAGACCTCTGAAGGATTTTATTCCTTTCTGCAGAGGGCAGCGATGACTGCTCGGAAATGTGTGACGGAGAAGAGCCCCAGGAAGCCTCTAGCTCCCTAGCAAGATGTGGGTCAGCTAAGGAAGGGGAGGATTTCTGGCCCTGGGCTGCAGAGTGTCACGAGTTTGAATTTGAAGGTTGTGTTTCCTGATTGATTTTCTTTTGCGTATACTTCACAATGAAAGGATCCAATTAATCCTAAGATTTTTCACGTTTTCTGTACATGGATCTTTTGGGAAATGCAGGGAGGAATCTTTATACACAAGTTAGTGTTTAGCAGAATGAGTTTTATTGTTTGAACATATGTGTTCAGATATTCAAGTGGTAGTCGAAATATGCCATGGCAAGGCAATGTGTTCTCTCCTTTATATTCTCATTACTTTTAGTACTACACTATTAAAATATTTTACCAAATAAGACCTGATACCCTCACAAAACCTTAAGATGGGGGGAGGCAAACTGGGTAATCCTATTATATAGGTGAAGTAAAGGTCAGAAATATGCTAGGAGGAAGCAATGCTCTTTTGCCTTTATTTTTTATAGCTATCAATACTAATATTTGAATTCATATAAAATTTCAATTCTTACTCCCTCTATGGAAATAAAAAAGGATATCTTTCCTCTGCTGTAGATACTTTTTAATCTTTTTTTCACAAACTTAACAAAACCTCTTCAGAGAAATGGTATTTTACCGTCTAATTGGCAGAATTCAGATCAGCTATTATGGAACTAAATGCTATTTTTGACCAGTACTTTCCATTATGTCATTGGATCCTGCAGTGTATTTTCAGAGTACTCTGATAAGTTTTATACTTTTACTCACAAAATCCTCAAAACTTAGATAGGGAAGGGTTGTTACTGTGTTTTGAGGAGCCAGAAACACAGACATGCATGTGACATGTGTGTTTGATAAGACCCAAGAAAAAAGCAAGAGCAGAGACTGGTGTTCTGGATGACTCTTTATAGGCTTCCAGTTCTGTGAGGCTGGCATGGTTTGGGGTGGGGTCCTATGGTCTTGAGTCCAGTGTGGAAGTCCAAAGGGATTTTGGGAATCCAATAGACTCTACCAGGGTTCAATGGAAAGACACTTTTATTTAACAAATAACGAAATATTAGGGAGAGGAAACATCATCAAGAGTTGGAAAATACTTGAATGTAATCTACAATACGAGATAGGAGCTAAAAAAAAAAAAAAAAATAGAGCCAGAAAAGAGAAACAGAGGGGCAATATGAAAAGTATATGTGCACATCACTGAAGAAAAAAGAGACAAATAGTAAGGGAGGGGAGATGTTAAGAAGAGAAAGTCCAGAAAGCTGAGGAGAACTACAGATGCCTCCATAGGGTAACAGTAAAAAAGTATCACTAGTAGAAGGGGCTACCACTTAGGCTGGGCATGGTGGCTCACGCCTGTAATCCCTGCACTTTGGGAGGCTGAGGCAGGTGGATCACTTGAGGTCAGGATTCGAGGCCAGCCTGGCCAACGTGGCAAAACCCCATCTCTATTACAAATACAGAAATTAGCTGGGTGTGGTCATGCACAACAGTAGTCCCAGCTACTCAGGAGGCTGAAACAAGAGAATTGCTTGAACCTGGGATGTGGAGGTTGCAATCAGCCAAGATCACACCACTGCCCACTTCAGCCTGGTGACAAAGCAAGACTCCATCTCAGAAGAAAAAAAAAAAAAAAAAAGAAGGGCTATTACTTAATAGCAAACAAAAGGCTGAATTTATTGTTCAATTAAGGGACAGTTGTGCTTGTGGGCCAGTTTCTCTGAACAGAGAATGTTTGTGGAAGGGTGGATCTGATCTCAGTGATTGGCAGCCTTCAGAAGTGAGATTTGTTAGTGGTTAGTTGAGCTTTAGTGAAAGCAGGGTCACTGGAGTGTGGCTGTCACTGATTGGGTGAGTTTCAGAAGCATGGGGAAGTGAATAGTTTGCTGGCTTTTGGAGGCCACCTGTGTACTGGCCAGAAGCTATTGTTGATTAATTGGGACAATTCTGGTTGTTATTGTCCATATGCCTAAATAATAATGAGTTTTCCTAGAAGTGTAGGAACTTTCCATTCTCAGTCTCCCCTGTAGGAAATCTCTCATCTAAAGCTGCAGGAGGCACCATCAAGCATTGTCCCCATCCAAGATGTCTTTTCTGGAAGACAACACTGGAAACGGACTCCTAGGATTTCCCTTCATTGAGTAGGCATTATAGAGTTGCTGGATTGAGAGTTTTATCCTTGTGGAGGATGATATAAGAAAAAGTAATGATGTTTAATAATATGGCAATTGAATGACAGACAACTGTGGAGTGTTTTTAATTGGCAATAGAATTGTGTTGCTTGCAATACTATCAAATTTAATTCCCGTTTGCCCCAAGAATACTTGCCAGACACATTTGTGGCTGCAGCGTTTATGCCAAGTAAGTTTGCATGAAGTAGCTCGCTTTTATTATGACTTTGGAAACAAAAGACATTCTTCTATTTATAGCATTCTGGTTTTAGTAGTGGTATTTCCATTTATAAAATATAGTAATTCTTGATCACTGAAAATGTCAAATCCTGAAAAACATAGCTTTCCCACACGTGCTGTTAACATTGTTCTCGAACAATTGTTGGCCAAAGATTCATTTGATGAGTTATATATTTTAAAAACAGATGATTTTGATATTAGTTCTGTTTAGAAATAACTCCAAGAATAATTTATATATTTTGTTTTCACATTGAAAGTCAATCATGTTTGCTTCAGCCTCAAAGAATGTGTCTATGTGAAATTAAGTGAGTGTAGCAAGCTGCACTTTTTTTTTTTTTTTTTTTTTTCCTAAATGGGAATAGAGTTCAAGACAATCCAAGTACAAAATCTCCAGAAGCATGGACTAATGCAGTTACCTGCAGTTGCTTTGAGACAACTAGGGTGAGCTGTGGCTACTAGCAATGGCCCTTTGATGTCTGTCATGTTCTGAAGTGATACCCCTAGAGCATGGCCTGTTTGTTTATTTATTTATTTATATT